ATTTTGGGCTGATAATACAGTTGAGAATTTAACATTTAATGTTCCTTGGGGTGTTTCGGTTTACGAAATCCTGGATGCTAATCAACATTTTAAACTAAAAGGGATAAAATTAGACGTGTCGATAAGACATTGCCTCCCGTCCAGGTTTTCATGATGGCTTATAAACTGACCGGCCGTCAAAATTCCCACGCTCCCAAAACCAAAATGTGCTTTTTACCCCCACATTGCACTTTCTTTAATAGCCTGACTGGCAAACACAGTTACCTGTCAATAATAGCGAAGGTGACACGTATTGTACCCAAAAGATGCCAACACCAGGCAGCCATAGCCCTTTGCATATTAACCTTGCTTGTTTTGTGGTATACCTGCGTTGGCCTATACATGTCGCCCTATATCCGATGGCGGTTTTGTTTTCTCCTTTCTTCCAGTCTGACGGCAGGTTGTTTAGTTCTTTTAAGAGCCTAATTTGTTATTCTTTTGACTATTTTAATCAAAGTCCGGCAATGGTTTTGAAAGAATAATTAAAAAGAAAAGAGGACAGAGTCTCCAATCTCGAACAATGCAAACGAAAAAGGTAATTGAAATTTAACAAAAAGGCCCAAAGACAATTGCCAATTACCTGTAGCAGAATAATCAAGCTCGCTTCCATCAACGGTTTCCATTAATAAATGAAACTCTCTGGGAGTTAGTTATTTTGTCCAGGTCAGAATACACTCGAGGATATGATGGAATCATTAACAGGGGGTAAAGATCGTTAATAAGGTGTTCTGACTTGAATCGCAAATAGTAATATGTTCTCAGGACGTGCCTGTCTTCGTGGTCTTCACGGCGCCTCAGCTCAATTTAAAATTGTCGGGTCTCACGACCTAGAATATTAGTAAGCCGACTGAATAAATCTATCAGTCGTTGCTTCGATTTTTTATGAAAAAGAGGGAAGGGGAAAAAAGTAAATTTGGAAGTGCGGGCAGTTGATTACATAGTTGAATTATCAGCTACATGTACCTTGGCAATTTAGAAGCAATTTAGATGTTTGGGAAATATTCATTTCACTACAGGAAAAAGGTGAAGCATTCCGGCCTCAGTTCTGTCACCGAGTTGCTGTGAGCTGATGCTGCTGGTCAAATCGATCTTCATCGGAATTGAAGGTAAGTCGTATCAATTTCCCNTGTCTCGCGTCTGACCTAGAGCTGTATATCTATAACTTGCACAAATAGTTACATGCTGTGAAGTGCAAGAAAAACTATCAATCTTTGAGTGATCATTCTTGTGACCTTAAGATGTTGTCAGTTCGAGACAGGTGTCTTAACTTAATTTGAGTCTCGATCACGAACACTCTGTAAACACGATCAAAATCTTGTTGATCAAGACATTTTAGATAAAATTTCACTTAGAATAATACCCAGAAACGCGATATTCTTTCTCATGTTATTAAGTTTTCAGCATGAGATGACAGATGTGTGAACTAAATAAAGAGGTCACTTCAAATTAAAAGCCACGACGATTTTTTAGCTCTTTCACATTCCCTCGGTGGTTATAAATAAGCAGTCACCTCCTTTTTGCCGCCGAAATAAGCCTCAGAAAATGTGTAGTTTGAACGGTATATATATATTTTTCCTACTATTTCGAAGTGATTGCGCCGAAGGGCTGGTCAGGTTTTTTTTTTAATTCCCATGTCACACCGACGAGTTTCAATGTGTGAATTATCTGATTTTGCGTTCTTTCTTACAGGGAAAGAAGCTGTACCAACAATTGTAAGGACGTTTTCATGAGAACGGAGACATGGTTGCTTCAATCTATGTGGCTTTTGCTGCGGTCGCCGCTGTTATTTGTGTTACAAGCGTGGTGTTAAACAGCCTTATTTGTTTGGTGTTTTTGAGAAACAAAAAGCTTCTAAAAGCTCCGGATATTTTTATAGTGAGCGTGGCACTCAGTGACCTACTCTACTCAGTCGCCACGTTGCCACTCCTGTTTGTTGCCAACGTCTATGGAGGATGGATTTTCGGACCTCAGGGCTGTAAGGCGACAGCTTTTATCACTACTTGGAGCGGTCTGAGTTCATTAATGAACTTGTCTCTTGCTGGGTACGAAAGATATGTTGCGTTGGTGTTCCTATATAAAAGTCAGTGAACTTTCACAAGGCGGAAAGCAGCTCGCGGTTCAGTCGCCATGTGGTTGTATGCTTTGTTTTGGAGTGTGATGCCGTTGTGTGGCTGGTCAGGTTTTGAGTTAGAAGGAATTGGTACGAGCTGTTCTTTGAGGTGGAAGTCACGTAACAGACTGGATTTGTCGTACCACATTTGTTTGATACTAGCATGTTACGTGTTGCCAGTGAGTGTTATGATCGCATCTTACTACAAATCTTGCTGCGAGATTAGGAAAGGAGCCAGGCGAGCAAAGACAACTTGGGGAAAGAAATCACCATTTACGAGAAAGGCCCTCGCGGTGGAACGCAAGATGGTAGTGCTGTTTGGAGTGATGACCGTGGCATTTCTTGTGGCCTGGACACCATATGCTGTTGTATCACTGATATCAATGATCGCCGGTCCAGACGTAATCAGTGATGTCGCATCATCCGTCCCAGCGTACTTTGCCAAATCTTCAGCTTGTTACAACCCTATTGTTTATGTGTTTCTGTACAAGAGATTGCGGCAGCGTATTTTCTTTACCGTGGTGCGGAGAAGAGATTCGCTTAGTAGTAGTTCTCGCAGACCTTCAAACGACTCGGGTGGTACCGGTGAATCGCATTATCTGAAACTGTTATCTTTTAAAAAGTTTGATCATACGGCAGTTTAAAAGTTCAACAAGTGATACGCTAAAGCAATCGGTGAAAATTTAATTTCTTCAAAATGTACATTTGATAGGTTCTTATGAACGTAGTTTAAGAAATGTAATATCTAGTTCACAGCAAAGTCTAATGTTATGTAAATGTAATTTAATGTCATGTGATGTAAGTGACTATTTTACAGCACCTCGAATACTATAGTATATGTTTTGTAAGAAGAATTTTTCGTTATTTAAAAAGATGGGTATAATGGTACTGAAGAATTTCCCAAAATCCAACTATCATACGGTAATTCATTTATTACATGACCGAGAAAATTTTGAACGCTCCTACATCAATTTGCCCTGAATTGCTATGGATAAATTTCCCCCTCTCAGCCAATCACAATTAAGTCTTCAGTTGCAAGTAATCGTATTGCAAATTGTGTAAAAACTGAAAAAGGCAATCATAATTGCACGTGGTGTAAGTATAAATAAATTGTAAGTGGTGTAAATAATCATAGCACTGTAAGTAGTATTTTGTGTCGCAACCGATCTCAGCGGCAGAACATTCAGAGAACTGAAATACTCAAAACTTTTTTTTTTCAATTGTCTAATATTTCGGTTTGAAAACACACCCTGTAGAAGTGAGTGTCTGACATATCATTATTAGATTTGCCCTACGAAGCTGAATTTTCTCTAATTATACGACCCGGCGTCCTTTCTGACATGTTATCTCATGTGTTATCTTGACTAGCATTGCTAGCGTAACACCGTGGCGAATTATTCTTTAGTACATTGAATGTAATGAATGAGATCGAGAGATTTCGGACACAGTTAATTTCAACTGTTTATCTACAATGCTTCGTGTAGATGGATAAAGTTTAATCGAATTATAGATAATTACTGAAAAGGATTGAAATGAATAACCCTTGACCCTGGGCCTATTACTGACTCTTTATGAGCGCCATGGTTCGAGCTCTGGTTTATTTAATAGGACGCCAGCTCCAGTCTAAATTCTTACTCGTTCTCACAAGCGGCAATTCACAAAGTCTGCATTGTTTTAGTCAACAATATAATAAGAGTTTGAGACTCCTTTATCATAACTGCACTTCAGAAACTTCACACACTGAGAAATACAATATACACTGATGGTTTCTCAAGATTTCCCTTGGAAGGTTGGCAATGTTAATTAAAATTAAAGAAGGGCTGTAGGTTGCTGATATGTCTTATTGGATGAAGAATTGCACTCGTGGTAGCCGTCATACACCAAGGTTACTTCCAAGATGTCTTAGGTTCAACATGTATACTCTATATTTAACTTTACGCTAGTAAGAGACCAACTTCTATTGTCTCAGTGTGTGGTCTCTTACTAAAGCCCGGCCACCATCTTTCGTATTCTACTAGCTCTAGTTACGATTTTTTTTATGCTTCCTGGAATAGATGATCGCTTAGGAGAGCTTTGAGCCTCGACTTACATGAAAACCCCACGCACAGCGTCTGCGCGCAGAGACTGACATAAGCTGAATAGTCACTTGTTAGGAGGCTCATTTATTTCGTGCATGTTTGAGGGGTGCAGTGATGGGGAGATGGCTTTGAAGGGGAATCGAAGGAGGACTTCGGATGGCTTACTTAATATACAACAAAACGATAACGTACCAGTGATAATTAGCCCCAAGCTTGGGAATAGTGTCTGTGGATTTGTACCGGATAAATTTGGACGGTTAAAACGCACAAGTAACACAGTCTGCCTTTTATAGTTTTGGTTGTGAAGGATAAGGTGCTGGAATGCTAGACATTCTTCGCCATGTTTTAAACCAAAAATAAATCGGGCAATATCGTTTGGTTTCGGTTTATCTTATTTTCTTGAACATGGGGAATGTTCGCTGCCTTGCAGGATCAAGTTAAATATAAAATTCACTTATAGGGCTGACAATTTCTGTTTGTTTAACTCCAGGTCAGTAAGGAGCAAAAGTGTGCTTAAGTGTTTCACCTCTCCAGATGGACGAATCGTGTTTCTCGTCGACACTCGCACATGATCAGTTCGGAAAACGAATTATTTCTTCGGAGGAGATGTCGTCGCGCTTCGGGCGATGATTATCTCACCCTGTTACATGGACAAAGCTTGCGACGCAAAGGGCGCTTTGTACAGACGAGTGAGACACCCGTTTGGCGTTTTAACCTTTAACCGTTTGCTTCTAATCGTGGTAAGTCTTCAGTGAATCAACACTTTGTTCATTCTGGTTGTAATTAACTGTTTATTTCCAAAATAGGGAAGTCATCATCTCTATACATTGTTTATTTTTGATGACACGTCGATATCCCATGGGTGAAATAGATCAGGTCCAGACTTCAATAAACCCTTTATTGGCATATATAGTAAGGTAAGAACGCAAACTTGATCGGGGATAAAGTGAAATAGCTCTTTTTTTGTCAGTACATCACTATTTCGTACTCATTTTCAATACGGTTTTGATATCCACTTTTGCTCGATAAGAATGCGTTCAAATCACGTCATCTCAAAGGCCTCGACGAAGGCCTGTCCATTTGTGAATTTTTGTCACAAGGATTACACAAGCAACAACGAGCTCTAAAAGCTGCTGTAAAACGCCACTCCTCACTCTTTACGTTGCCTATCTTTTCCTTGAGATTTTTCTGGAATATATGCTCTGTAATGGGTTTGGAAGCCATTTAGCACTCCTAAAAAAACACAAAGTCAAAATATTCTTCACGGCCTTGTCGACACTGCGCCACTTGACCGGATTAGGTTTACAGGCCTGTCATTACTTGCAATTTTGAAATATTTATAGCTACTGGCGAAATTAATGGATACATCAGCTAACAGCCTGTGACTTCACACCGCCGAAAAACAATTATTTTTTCTCCTGGCGTGAAGAAACATGAGGACAACCCTGTAGCTTTGTAGGACGTAGGACTTCCCAGCAAAGGAGCTCATATGGAATTGCATGTTTGCATCCTATAGTATTTACGTTGACATAAGTATCAATTAACCTGTTCAATTGTCCTTTGCTATGAACAAAATGTTATTTCCTATTTCACTTTTAAAATCTGAAATTCAAATACTTCTAGAAATGAGTGGTTGCAAACACCAATCACGAATGTCGCTTATTGTATACAGTGAAGACGTAATAACGGGATAATTCCTAATGGTGGGTAAGTCAGTATCGGCAAACGGAAACCATCGATTGAATGTTTAGTTTCCGATGACGAAAACTTAATCAAGACTGCCAAAGTACGCCTAAAAGAAACAACAACAACAACAA